GAAGAACTGTTGCAGAGTGTTCCCACTACAACAAAACGGAATCCAAGGAAGCAGCAGTGCTAAGAACGACGATGGTCAACGATGACTGGACGCCTACCAAGATAAGGGAAGAACAGGAGAGAGAGACAAGCTGAAAAGGGGTGTTTTAAGAAGAACGACAAAGTCTGGCTCTATAATCCCAAAAAGCGAAAAGGTTGTTCTCCCAAGTTGCAGCAGTTTTGGGAAGGTCCATACCTCATTATGGAGACGATCAATGATGTCATTTACCGAATAAGCAAGATTCCGAGGGAAAAGCCGATGATGGTACACCATAACGGGATGGCGTCTTTCGCAGGTAATCACGACGTAGATGAAAAAGTGGAAGTAAACCAAGTCCAAGGTGTGTCTGAAATCACGTGTCAGTAATTCATGGGTGCCTATGAAGGTACCGGTAAAGCAAGACATGGTGTTACCACTAAAGAAAGGCAAGATCTACTAGCGCTTTCCGATGATTACTCACTGACCCTTACCATCCCGGCCAGTATCAAAGACGCACCAGGGTTGGCATCCGTCTTTCGAAGCAAGTTCGGTCGAGTTGCAGAACTTCAATGCCAAGTGCCAGCTCCTGGAAGCGCCTTGAAACTCCAAGATACATAACGTTACCTTTTCTACCTGGTAACTTAAGAATATACCTGGTATACTTCAATTAAGAGAGCACGTACTAGAGTTCGACGTGCAAAAGTTAGCCATGCCAAAGTTGGAGTGTCGCCAATTAGATTGGAAGGTTATCCGAAATATGGTGGAGGAGATCTTTAAAGACACCGAAGTCCAGGTGTTAGTCTGTTGCAATCCTCATAGTTACTGGTGCGGAGAGAAAACCGTCCCTTGTCATTTTTATACAACTGAAAGTTGTAAAAGAGGGTCCAGTTGCCGATACCAGCATGCCGTTCCAGTTCCAGTCCCGACAAGGTTACAGGAGGAACCATCTTTTAAGAGGGAGGCAATGTTACGATAAATATGTTTCGTAAATATTTTAATTCTTATATGTTCTAGATTTGACCTGATCGTAGAAATTTCAGGTAAAACGCACCTGACACGATGTCAATTCAGGTTAACATCCATGGGATTCTTTTTTACTCGAGAAGGTCGTCGTCCGCTCGAGGGAAGTCACCGGCAGTTTATATTTAAATAGAAATTTTGTTGTAAAAAAAAATCAGTCAAAAGAAGCTCGCGCTCGCGTTTTAAATTGTAACGCACGTATTATAAATGTAGATAAATTATATAATTATTAAGTTTAAAATAAATTAGTGGTAATAAAGACTTTAATAAATTTGTGAGTGTTATAAGTATAGAACCTTTAATAAATAATAAAGACAATAAATTAGAATTAATAAAGACTTAACAATACTTAACTGACTACTTAGATACAATCTTTTGGATTTCTTAGTTGTAATGTGATTCAGTTCCTCTGAGAATATTCGTCCTTATTTTCACGCACGTGAAACGTTTATTGTTGTATTTACACGGTACAAAAACTAGGGCTCTTTTAGGAGCTACAGAGGGGCAAAACAAAAACAAAACAATAAATTTTGGACCTCTGTTGTACTATATACACAAAATGAAAATATCGACCGTACATTTGTAGTATCCTGGTCATTCTTTAATGTGACCAATACGTTAAAGTCATTGAAAAAATGAAAAGGAAAAAAATCCTTTATAATTTTCCCCAGTGATTGGATGGATTTGGCAGCTAAATCCAGTAGATAAAAAGTTCTTGATGGTGAAATGAACTACAATGTGAAGGGCTTACGAAAAATGCAATAATTTTATTTTGAAAATCTGACATCTTGCACATTGTTTTATAAATTTACACTGTCTAGAAGAATTTTCCTTTATCTCTGTTGATTGGAGAAAAAAGGTGAGACGAACTTCAGAAATTCCACCGGTCATCGAATTTCCGCCTCTCTGTCAAGGCCCCGTCAAAATAAAACTCCCAAAATACAAAAATTTGTTTCCACTTTTACCCTTTATACCTCCTATTCACCACTATTTTTACTGTAATCTAAGCCATGATCAAGGTCGAAATTGCGAAATAAACCACAACGTGAAAGTGAAACAGACCTCTAAGAATTGGAAGTGGATATTCCATTGGAAACTAGACCTAAAATAAATTAACCCTAGAACTGCACACTGGGGTCTGAAAAACCCAGGCGCATGAATCGTTCAATGTAACTTGCGCATGTCTGCGTCTTTTGGCAATCCCTTGCACGTAAATTCAGTTAAGAGCCGACTACGTTGAGAGACAGTCGCTGCGCCGCGTAAGTTTGTTGTATAGTTTACTGTGACGCTTTTAGTAGATCTGTGGGTACTTCGGACCCCAGTGTGCAGTTAAACGGTGTTAAAATTTTGAGGTGATTTTTTGTTATTTGCTAGTATGGCAGATTCTAAGAGAAAATATCAGCGTCCACTAACCAGAAAAGAATTAGAGTGGGAAGCTGAAAACCTGTGGGCGAATGAAAATGAACCAGAGACCATCGAAGATGATTTTGGAGACTCATCAGATGAAGACGATCTTTATGTTCCTGAACATCAGTCTGACACTGATAACGAACAACAAAGTGACGACGATAATGAAGAAGAACAAACAGAACCCAATACCTCGCAAAGAAATATCGCCAGTATACTGGGAAAAAATGGTCATCGTTGGACCACACAGGCACCAGCACGACAAGGACGTCCAAGAAAGGATAACATCGTTTTACATTTGCCTGGTCTAAAAAATGAAGCAAGAAATGTTAGTAGCCCTGTTGAATCTTGGAATTTACTATTTTCTCAAGAGATTGTGGACATTATTGTGCTGCATACAAATCAAGAAATTCTTAGGAAGTGTCAGAGTGGCTTGCCGCAGAGTTACAAAAAAATAACCAACAACATAGAAGTCAAAGCATGTATTGGTTTGCTGTATCTCGCTGGTGCATTACGAGTCTCAAATTGTAATTTAGATGAGCTTTGGTCAATAAAATATGGCAATGGGCTATTTCGGGCAACCATGCCCCAACAAAGATTTCAGTTTTTAGCTCTTTGCTTGAGGTTTGACGACAAAACAGACAGAAATGCTAGAAAATTGGTTGACAAGTTTACCCATATTCGCCAAATATGGGACATTTTTATAAATAATTGCAAGCTATACTACACGCCCTATGAGAACTGTACAATTGATGAGCAGCTCGTGAGTTTTCGTGGAAAATGTCCATTCCGAATTTACATGGCCAGCAAACCTGATAAATATGGAATGAAAGTAATGATGATAAATGATTCGAAGACATTTTATATGCTGAATGCCATTCCATACGTTGGAAAAGTTGATGTTGAGAATAATGAGTCAGTTCCTACATATTATGTCAGAAAACTTTCTGAACCAATACACGGTACTCACCGTAACATAACAATGGATAACTGGTTCACGTCAATACCTCTAAGTGAACAAATGATGGAACAGTATCAGCTAACAATCCTTGGAACGTTGCGAAAAAATAAAAGGGAAATACCTCCGAAGTTTACACAAAAAAAAGATGTAGGCACATCCATATTTGCTTTCGACAGAAACAAAACGCTAGTTTCGTACACTCCAAAGGAAAATAAAGTGGTACTACTTTTATCAACTTTGCATCCTGATTCATCACTTAATACCTTGACCGGAAAACCAAATCTTGTACATTCCTACAATGAAACAAAGGGTGGCACAGACACCTTTGATCAGATGTGCCACTCTTACACGACTTCCCGTAAAACTAGACGCTGGCCTCTCAGAATGTTTTTCAATATGTTGGATGCTAGCGGAATAAATGCTATGGTTCTATTTTCACTTGCAAATCCCCAATGGAAAGATGACCGAAAACACGATAGAAAAACATTTTTAAAAGAACTTTCAACTGCATTAATTGAACCGCACTTAAGGGAAAGACTACAAGTTACCAATTTGCCAACAACCCTACGTGTAAAAATTAGCGAAATATTAGGAGTTGGTGTACCTCAAAGAGATAATTTTGATGTTAGTTTGCCTAAAAAGGTTAGATGCTGCTTTTGTCCTCGTGGAAGGGATCGAAAAACGAGTTCTGCTTGTTCGTTGTGCCACAAACCGTACTGTTTAGAACATCGGGCTCAATTATGTTATATGTGTCAGAACCAAAGTTGAAGTGCCTGGCTAAGAGTAAGAAATAATTATCTTGTAACAACATTTATATTTTATTTTAGTTTAAAGGGCTTTTAAGAGAAAAGTTTTATTTCACTGGAATTTTGTTTAATTTTTTTGGTCGTATCTCCATATTTTCAATAAAGTGTAATAAAAGCACTAGTTTATGTTTTTCCACGTTTATCAGATCTAATGAGAAATGTTTTTTTTTAATAAATATATTTTGAAAATAAGATATTGTTGTTTGTTGTTTTGTACTACATACCGCAGAAAAAAAATTCATAACATTTATTACTAAAAAAAAACAATTAGGGTTTTCGAGACCCCACTGTGCAGTCTATGTTAGATGAACGAACTGTGCTGTTCTAGGGTTAATGGTGAATATGATTTTTTTAAGAATAAAAGTGTTTGACATGTGTTTCTTTTATTTTACTTCAGTAAAGAAATTCGCTAAGCGGCAAAAAGAAAAAGTGTAAAATTTGCAGCAGAGCGGTGCAATTATTTTTTCAAAATTTCTAGTAGGTACCTATTTTTAATGAAAATAGATATAGGTATGTACCAACTTTAAAAGAGTTTTTATAATTAGATAACTTAAATGCACAAAATTAATTCAAAATAAGTCCATAATTGATTAATTTGCTGTAGAATTTATTATGTAAAAGTGTCTTTTACTTCGTTTTTCTCAAATAAATCATTATATCACCTGTACCCCTAGATTCTAATCATATCAATATATTATTTAATTTTGTAGAATTAAGATTGTACTATGTACGCCTATGTTTGACAAGCGAAGCCACGCCTGCGTAGTAAGTAGTATTTGACGTTATTTGCAGTAGACAGTTCTTTTCTCGTTCTTCTTGGCTTTAAAAGTAATACGTCGTTTTCAGTGTGTTTCACTCTTTACTTTGTGTGCCAGTATGTAGCTCTCTTTATCTGAAGAATTCCGAACTAAACACTAGTGACAAAGGAAGAAAAATCAGTTATTGAGGGTGGAACAACGAACAGGCAAGCTACTGAGGAAAGAGAAGAGCTTGTTGCAAATGGCATTTTTGACAACCCGAGAGTATACAAATAAATTAAATGTGCATTTTTTAGAAAAATTTTCGTAATCTGTCACCAGTATTTTATTTTTGATGATTTTGTTGGTGTTGAAAGTTGTATCTTATGTCTTTGTATGTACTGATCTACGAATAGGTTATGTTTCCAACTTTCATTAGCATCCTAGGTGTGTTTATAAACCATTATATTCGAAATTTGTTTATATATGTGTTAGGTTTGTATTTATTATAATTTCTATTTTATTTTTAAGATATTCAATCATGGTGGGAGGTCCCAAGTATCGCTCACTTTTGTTCGCTTTTTCGAACAGCTTTTAATCTCTTAGATTTTGATATTGAGGTGAGTAGCTTGTCTTAAAATATTTTGTTAATTTTTAATTGAATAAATAAGGCGTTTATTTAGTTTGCAAAATTTTAGAGACATAAGTTCAATTAAAATAATATAAAGCAAAAAGAATATTTAGGGAGTGAAAAGTATAGTGAGTGTTAAATAAAAAATATGAAAAAAGTTTGCATGAATTTGGTTTATAGTATACAAAGATATACTTTTACCTATGAGGCAACAAATACTAGGAGTATCTTTTACTCCTTTTATTTATTAACATTATAAAATATATTTAAACTTTTTTTAAAGAAAGTTTTGTTTTAGGATCTTGAAGAAGCTCTTCTTACTGATGGTACAGAAGAATATTCTTGGCTACAAGATTTAATAGTACGCCTTTTAAGCGGTTGTCTTAAAAATAATGGAATCTCAACTTTTAATTACCAGATGTTCCTGAGAAGGTTGTTCCGCCAAAAATGCCAGGAACACGATCGTTATAATCCTTTTAACACAGATATTGATTTTCAGCTTCTACCACTTAGAACTAAAGTTGATATTTTGCATGCTCTTTGTGACTTTCGCCTAGATGCTACTGATGTGTTAGACCAGCTAAAAAACCTAGAAGCAGATAGTCTTAGAGTGGAACCTCTTGGATATGACAGTAATGACTCTGCATATTGGTACTTTTATGGGACTAGACTATATAGAGAAGATTTTGCATCAAAGAATGATAAAAAGAAGACTGTATGGCAAGTTATTTGTTTTACACAAGATGATTGGTTGCAATTAACCAAGAAATTTAAGAAGTCCACAAATAAAGCAGAAAGGCAGTTACATCATACTTTAAGTGAAAATTTTCTACCAGAATTGCCAAGATTGTTTAAAGAAAAAGAAATCTTAGCTAGGAAGAGGTTGTTGGCTAGGTTGCCTAAGAGGAGTTCTGATAGGTTAAAACAGCAGGTAAGCACAGCAGAATACAGTTTTATTACAATAGTTTTTATTTTTGATAAGTTAAAAAACATGATGAAGTAAAAAATGTTATTTGCTAAAGTAATGAAATCTTAACTAATTGAGGGGACAGCAGTAAATTAACATTTATATAATTGAACTTTGATAATATAAAACGCAAATATCAAGCACAGTATTAATTTAATTTTGCCCAAGTACTTTCGATCCCTAGATCATCTTCAGGGGCATTTCGTCAATTGAGGCCTATCCGACAAGAGTAAAATGTCATAGACATAAAATGGAACATTACAATACACTACACAATGACAAACACTTTAAAGTTTTTTTGAAAATAGGCGAAGCTACATTGTGTAAAGAAGCTGGAGACAGCCTTATTTCAATTTATATATATCAGCAAATTCTGGTCAAGCCATAGTTAGCCCTTTTGCTGTGCCAAATAAATGCATACCGATAAACGAGCACGGCAGTAGTTTTTTAAAATGAAATGCAGTACTTGTCCAATCACTGCTTTTTGTACATATATGTATTAAATCTGACTATAATCATTTGTAATCAGTTTTCGTGGAATTTCTTTTAAAAATGTGAAGGGCGCACTTGTGTGCTTTAATACAAATTGTTGTATTTTGTAAATTAACATTTTCAAGACCACACCAATTTCAGGTGGCTGTGCTCGCTAGACCATAGTTGACGTGCTTTTATTCATCTTTGATCCACAAATGTGGTTTCAAGTGTTATATTTTTAGTATTATTACAAGTATATTTATGGAAATAAATAATTTTTGAAAAGCAAATCAAAATCAATGTCATCAAAATATATGTTATTAACCTTCCGCAGATAACGTGAAAAATTTTAAAATTTTTGATAACGTCAGTTTAACAAACTAGTTTTTCTAAAATTAAAAAAAAATAAAATTTAGCTGTAGGTGATAAATATTTGTAATAATAGAATTGTGTATATTATTCTCTGTACAAATATATGAAATTTATAATTTTTTTGTTAATTTAATAATTTTAAGGGAGCATTAAAAAGTGTCATTTTTATGAACAGGCATTGAATAATATCAAAATAATTATAACAAAAAAAAATTAATTCTGGTTCCACTAAAACATAGATCAGTTACTTGTATGTTAATAAACAGGAAAAATAAAATTTTACTCTCAAAATTTACACATATTACTGAAACGATTCCAAATTTTGGGCACCATAATTTTCAAAACAATGCACATAATCTGATCAGATGTTCTAGACACAAATATTTTTTACAGTTTGCACAAGAATATCTTGTTCTTCGATTTTTTGTAGTGCTGCAGTACTTCCATCGTCCATGAGTTTGATTCTGGGGAGCAATATTCTCAGTTTCTATACCACATATTTCAGAAAGACGTAAACGGATTATCCTGGGAAAGTTTTGCTGTTGTGCTCATCGACGAATATGCGGGCTAAGTAACCAGATCTTAAATTTTCTAAGAATTTTCTTCTATCAATTTTTGTTTGGGTATTCGAGGTGTATAAATGATGTAACTATTTATTCTAGCAACGTTCATGGCACTATAAAAATGACCATTGACCAACTACGAGTTGCACGAGCGCAATTGTAGGCTTCGCACATTTTGTCAACAACATCGACATCGCCTTTTGTTTTGTTGTAGTGAGAAGACTACAGAAGAACAGAAAAGTCCATAATGGATTTTTCTGCTCTTTCTAGTAACATTTAAGGAAATATCTCACGTTTATTTTGACGTAATGTCCCAACTGTAGTAAGACAGTGTTGCCTTAGTATCTTTGTCAGAGGTAAGCTGAAGTTGTCAAGCGTAATATTTCTATTTGATCCCATATAGGTGAACAAAGATGAGGCACTAATGCTAGATTCGAAGTATCCCGTTGCAATGGTCCGGCAGGCTGTTTCCCTATGTACACTTCCAAATTTGCAGTGTAAAACATTTTAGCGTCCACTAAGGCATACATTTTTATTCCGTAGCGATTCGGTTTTTTAGGTATATAAATTTTTAAATGGATGGTGAATGCTGACATATTGTAATGTTGGGACAAATTGGATACAAACTCGTCGTAAATTTCCCTATCTGGAGCTAGTTTGTCGACTTGTACTCTTTCTTGTCTGGTAGCTTTGTTTCTGGGACATATGTCCATAGCCATTCCGTCTGTCCTCAATAAATCTTCAGCGTTTCTCCGGTTATTTTTACTAGTACCAGAAATATATATATAAAAGTCCCAATACTGCTTTTATTTCTAATAAATCAGTCGGTCTAAAAGAACGATTTTACGCAAGCTTATGACGAGAAACGTCATAAGCTTGCATTTCTATAAATTTGTTGGTGTAAGTAAAAATTTTTTCCAATATGTTTAGAGAAAAGAAGTATTCGCATATTTCTGAAGCTTTATTTTTATGCCTTATATCTCCCTTAGGTCCAGGTAAATGTGTGAAAATATTTTCGAACATTCCGTGCTAATGCAGGATATTTTCGCCACCTGGTAGTTCCATCTTTACCGATAAGGCGGGGTATTCTTCAGTTACAAGGGGTTTCTTCAAGAATAGGTAAATTTTGTTGATTTTCAAACTCCTCTTCTGAGTCTATATCCTCAATAGTTTCTACAATATGTTCGTCTATCAAACTCACATCATATCTGGTTCTGCCTCTAAATCATTTAAAACTTTTCCATGAAACTGCAACAGCCATTCTTGTTCCCTCTCGTAATTCATTGTAAACGTATTCAATAAAATATAATATAAATCAGTACCGCAAAAAAAAATCAAACAAATCAGTATTACCTCAAAATGTAACGGCAACTATAATGTCGGTTTGTGGGACTGTTTATAATATTCAAAATTCTTATTAAACGATACACGCTGTCGACTTGTTAGACTACAACTGAATAGATATAGATACAGGCACGTTTGAAAGGTATACTGTGAGGTGCAGATTGAAATAAAAAATAGCATCGCTTAAACCGCGAAAATTTGAATCAGTCGGTGCGAGAGACATAACGTTATCAGCCGAAGGTTAATAAGAAAAAAAATCGAACAAAAAAATAAAAATTTCAGAACCGTATGGTATTGCTAAAAGCATCCAATAACACATAGCTCTCTATGTTACATGGTCCACAATCATAGGCTGTTTCTCTTTTATTCTGATTTGCACAAACAACACACTGCTTGACAACAGATTTATTATTATCAGGCCTTTTGGGATAAATCAGAGAAAAATGTCTTTCAATAAGTGGTAATGGATTGTGACCATTTTCTGGTCTGCTGTTAGTACAACTTCTAGAGTGTCACCTTTTTGTATTTTTCTATTATCGATTTGACTAAATTTTCCTGAAAGTCCAATAATGGAATATTATTTACTGTTTTCATTTTATATATCACATAGGAATTCAGCACTACTAAATCTAGTCAGCATATCCGTTTTGTTTACTCCCATATTTTGATTATACTCAAAAATCGCCTCTGGTTTCTGAATTTGTTCAAATTTTTTATTTGTCACAGTATTTATTTTATTGCTGTGGATTGCAGATAACATATGGATGTCTCTTTTATCTTTTCATTTCAAAGCTAGTAAAGTTTTGTTTGAAAAATAATCAACTGAACCTTTTTCAATTTTTTCAAACTTCGGCATGAACATTGGTGTGGAAGTTCCTAGATTTTCGTAGAACTTCGTTATTTCTGTTGTAGCACCTGTGTATATAAGTAGATCAAGTATATAGCCCATTTCGCAATCCACAATAATACAAAAATTATTCCAAATCAATGCCTCTTTGAAGGAAAATCCTGACGATACGATATTCTTCCTTTGAAAAGCATAAGACTTTCATCGATCACGAGGTTTTGAAAAGGATACATAGATTGTTTAAATACTTGTCGGTAATGATCATCTTAAACAGCTTGTCTTCTTTGATAATTTTGTAATTGTCTGAAATATGCAGAAATTGTTAAATTTCTAAAAATCTCACACAGGACATTATTTGACCAAATGCAGGAGTCTGAATTATGAAATCTTGGGACCAATAATCCTTTATTCTTTATTTTTTCACTTGAGGCATGAGTAGACAAAGACCCAAAAACCAGTAGATTTCATCCGTAGTTGGTGATGTATATTTGTGAATTCTTTGTGATGGATCTTCACTCAAAATATAATTGTAATACATGCTTGTCTGTGCCGCTATTTCTTCGTCGAATTCTTTAGAAACAAAATTTTCAATTATCTCCAAAATTGTTGGAATTTCTGACAGGTTTTTAAGTAGACAACGGGAATATTTCACATCGAAATTCTCTAAAGAAGGTTTAACGTCAACTTTGCTCCAAATAAACTCGTTTGTCAGCTTATCAGCTATTTTCTCTTTTTTTACTAAGTGGATCACTTTCACCATCGTCATTGTCCCAACCATCAAACTGATCTAGAAGCGTAAAATCTTTATAATCATTTTGATTTAATAAATCATACAGTTCTTGTTCCGTCAAATATTTGCGAGCCATTGTTAATCCAACGATAACTACAGCAGCGGCGGCCGGCCAGGTGAAGTAGGTGAAGGTGAGGTTCACCAAAAAATATAATTAAATTGAGACAAATAAATAAAAAATAAAAGCAACATTATTATATCTAAATTCTGAAATCAATTATTTATTCTCTTTTAATTAATCTAAAAATTAAAAAAGGCGGCTAGCTTTATTAGCGGTGCAGTAGGTACTTGACGCTCAAGTCCTGACCTGTGTCACTTGCTGTGTATGATTCAGGAATAGGTGAATATCATTTTTGACATGCGACATCCATCTGCACAAGCGTTCACGGTTGCCATGGCAACGTGACGTCAGGCTGTGGCTAGTGATATTTGAGAAAAATAGCTAGTGCAGCTCCGTTAAAAAATATATTATTCGTCTTCACCCACTGGCCACTAGTTGCATGGGTACCTATTTAGTATTCGCAGCGACAATATTTCGAATTTTAGTCTATATATATATATATATATATATATA